ATCTATTCTTTGTGAAACCTCACTTTACATGTATTATCATTCTCACAATCCTTCTTCCCCCAGCTGATGTACAGAAAAACCACCTCAACATTATGACACAACTACCTGCTCATTCTGTGTGGGAGAAATGCTACTACCAGAGAACACACGCTGCTGTTCATCAACATTTTTCCTCCTATCTCAGTTAATCAGGAAGAATTTCTCAATTAATTAGTCACATATACGCTCATCTCCATACTCTACTGAACTGAAAAGTTATGGATTTCTGGGTACTGTAAGAGTAAGCTAAACTAACATCTATGGCATCCTTATCAGGAATGGTGTCGTGAGCAGGACTAGGGAAGTCATACTGCCTCTGTACTCTGCACTGGTGAGGCCTCACTTCGAGTACTGTGTTCAGTTTTGGGCACCTCAGTACAGAAAGAGCATTGAGGTGCTGGAGCAGGTCCAAAGAAGGGCAACAAGGCTTGTGGAGGGCTTGGAGAATGTGCCATATGAGGAGAGACCAAAGGAACTGGGGCTGTTTAGCCTGGGGAAAAGGAGGCTGAGGGAAGCCCTTAATGCTCCCTTCCAATATCTGAAATGTGACTGCAGCAAGAACAGGGTTGGTCTCTTCTCACTGGTGACAGGACAAGGGGAAACGGTCTCAAGTTACGCCAGGGTAAGTTTAGGCTGGATATCAGGAAAAACTTCTTTACAGAAATGGTTGATAAGCACTGGAATAGGCTCCCTAGTGAGGTGGTAGAGTCACCATCCCTGGATGTGTTTAAAAACTGTTTGGATGTGGTGCTCAGGGATGTGATTTAGTGGCGGGTTGTTAGAGTTAAGGGTAGTATGGTTAGGTTGTGGTTGGACACAATGACCTCTAAGGTCTTTTCCAACCTGAGCAATTTTATGATTCTATGATCTCTACTGTAAAATTAAGCACATGCATATACGTGCATTTTCTTTAAAATTTAAAGCTACTCTGAAACAACAAAGGAATTTCAGTGTGCACAGGCACAGAGATTACTTGTGAGAGGTACTCAGTTATTTGCAAACCCGCATGATGCCAACCACAGTTCTCACTGGAGTTCTATATAGAAAGTGATTTCTCTACATTAAGGTTCCACTGAACAGATGTAAGCAGCGTTTGGGTTCTGTTCCAATAGGAAGAACTCTGCATCATGAATTCAAGAAAGGCAGGAAAGGACAATCCTAAAGGGACCATGCATCCTTAACACTGGACTGTATTTTAAGCCATAGATCACATTTTTCATTTAAAAGCAATTTACTTGTTCTTTTGGGACTTCCACTGTGACAAAGGACTATAAATGTTGCATCACTAGCATATTTTCCCTTTTGCAGCTCACCAGCTCGTGGTTCCATAGAAAATTCCTATTTCAAATGGCAAAAAGCATTTACTTTTAATTCAAAACGCAGCTCACTGACAGGCTACTGCGCGCATATTGATTTAGAACAGAAAGCAGCTACTCAGAATGGTGTTTTCCACAATTGAGATAGGAATCAGAAACATCACAGCAAGGCAGGGACCAGAGATACCATCTCCTGGACCAGTCACCGCATGAACGAGACCGGCACAAGCAAAGCAAGCTGTCTGACACCGCATTATGGGAATATATTGATCCTTACCAGGTTGCGAGGTGGGAAACGACTGCTCTTTAACCCCTACACAACGGAGCCTGGCAGGGCAAGCACCTAAAAGAGAAACTGTCAGAGAGGTTTTAATAGTAACGTATAACCAAGAAGCAGCACAATTTTATACGCATGCTTTCTTTTTCCAATCGTTACTACTTGCCGTCCGACGACGACGTCTTAATGAAGGTTTCGGTTTTCTAAGCGAGCGTTTTCAGCTGGGATAAACGGGCTGACACAAACCCGGCTGGGTCAACGTTATCTCTACCGACAGCCGCACGCCGTCCAGCCTCAGGTCGGCGCCGTCCGTTCCCCGCCCGCAGCTCCGCGTCACCACCGCGCCCGGCTCGCACCGCCGCCGGCTCGACGCGGCCTTCGGTCGAGGCGCTCACCCGTCGTTCGGAATTCCGTCACCCGAAGGCGACAGCTTCCCCTTCTCCGCGAGGAGGCACTTGCGGCGGGTAGCAGACCCTACGTTTTGAAGGAGGCGGCCGCTCGCCGAGCGCAGATGGAGCAGAACTCCACCGACACCTGATCCCGCTCCACGTGCAGGCAGATCCCGCCGGGAGCCGCCCAACGCTCCTCGGGCTCCGCACCCGGCGGCTGTTCGGGGCCGGGCGGCCGCGCGTTGGGCAGCGCGTAGTCGTGGTCACCGCTGTCGCCGCCGGCCCGGCTGGGCTGCTGTTGGTGCTGCTGCTGTTGTTGGTGCTGGCGGCGGCCGTCCCTGAAGAGGCTGGTGCCCAGGCGCAGCCCGCCGGCCCGCGTCCCGGCCAAGCGGCTCAGGAGCTGCCCCAGCGCGCTCTGGTTGGCCAGCACGGCCCGCAGGTAGCCGCTCTCCCGCTCCAACTCCCGCAGGCGGCGGTTGAGGCCGCGGTTGCGGTCCCGCAGCTGCCGGTTCTCGGCGGCCAGGCCCTGCAGGCGGCTCTCCAGCCCCAGCACGTACTGCTTCTTCTTCAGCCGGTTCAGCCGCGCCGCCGCCGCCGCCTTCAGCCTGCTGCCGGCCCCGCCGCTCCGCCGCCTGCGGCCCCGCCCCGCTTCTCCGCAGAAACAGCCGCTCGGCTCCGCTCCCGCGTCCCATTCCGGCCTGGCCGCCTCCAGCAGGTCTCCCAGCTCCAGCCCGGGGAACCAGTCCTCTTGTTCCCACACCTCGGGCGGGCCTTCGACCACCTCCTTTTCCTGTTGCTGTTGTTTGGGCCTCGCCGCTCCCGGATCCCCTTCCCCGCCGCCATCCCGCCCTCTCGGGGCCTGCCCAGCGCCGGCGAGAGGCCACGCGGCTCCCGAAGGGCTCGCTCCGCCCGAGGAAGCCGCCAGCAGTTGGGTGAGGCTGTGCCGCATGGCGGCGGCGGCGGCGGAGGGAGGAGGGGGGGAGAAGGCGGCGGCCGCGGGGCCCGGGAAGAGCGGCGCGGAGCGGCGATGCCGCGGTGCATGTCGGGAAGCAGCGGGCGTGAGGGGATGGAGGGGGGGGGGGTGGAGGGGAGGAATGGCTGAGGGCTGTGGCCGCGCGCGGGAAAAGCGGGTGTGTGAGGGAGTTTAACGGTGCCTGAATGGCTGCGTTGGGAAGAACCTTAAAGCACATCCGCTCCTCATCGCTGCATCGGGCTGGGTGCCCCACACCAGCTCAGCCTGCGCAGAGCCCATCCGACCTGGCCTCGAGCACCTCCAGGGATGGGGCACCACAGCTCCATGAGCAGCACCAGGGGCCTCACCGCCCTCTGAGTAAAGAATTTCTTCCTAACCTAAATCTAAATCTCTCGTTTGATTTTAAACCGTTCCCCCTTGTCCTGTCACTGTCGCAGAATTGTAGGGGTTGGAAGGGAGCTCTGGGAACATGGAGCCCAGCCCCAGGCTAAAGCCCGCTCCCTGCAGCAGGTCCAGGCGTCCAGGTGGATGTCGAACACCCCCAGAGAAGCAGACTCCCCACCTCTGGCAGCCTGTTCCAGTGCTCTGCCATACTCAGAGTAAAGAAGTTTTTCCTCTGGGAACTTTCCCACTTTGTGCCCCTTGTTGTGTCAGTGAGCACAGTGAAAAGAACCTAACTCCATCTTTCCATTAGGTATTTGTAAGCATTAATAAAATCCCCTCTCAGTCTTCCCTAGGCTGAACAGCCTCCCATCTCTCAGCCTTCCCTCATGCAGAGATGCTCCAGGCCCTGATCATCTCTGTGCCCAACCCACTGCATTCTCTCCAGTAGTTCCCCATCTTGGTTGAACTGGGGAACCCAGAACTGGAACAGGTTGCCCAAGGAAGCTGTGGATGCCCCATCCCTGGAGGCATTCAAGGCCAGCCTGGATGTGGCTCTGGGCAGCCTGGTCTTGTGGTTGGCGACCCTGCACATAGCAGGGGGTTGAAAACTGATGATCATTGTGGTCCTTTTCAACCCAGGCCATTCTATGATTCTGTGATTCTATGAACTGGACACAGCTGTGGCCTCTCCAGGGCAGAGCACAGGTGCAGGACCGCCTCCCTCAGCCACACTCTTATTAATGTGCCCCAGTGCATCAGACTGTGTAAAAAGTCAGTCTCTAAGACATGTTCACGTTATGAGAACTTGGAGAGCAATTATGGCAGCTACCTGCAGCCCAGCTGCAGGATGCCATTTGGCATATTGTGGGGTGAGTGTTGGAGGCTTCAGGAGCTGAAACTCAGCAGCCAAAAACCACCTCCTCAGCTGGGAGAGAGGCAGGAGAGGATGGGGAGCCTCACTGTCCCACAGTGCTGACAAGAAACAGAAAGGTTTTGGCCAGAAATTGCCAGACCTGTGCCCTCAGGTTTTGTACCACTTAAACCCTCAACCTACTTTGAAAACAACTGAAATCACCCAAAGAATCTCTTACTTTGAGTTGAACAGGGATATAAACAACACTGGCATTAGATAAGAGAACTGTAGGCAGCTGTAGAACAACTATGTGTAATATCTTGCTCAAGCCTCAGGTATTGATGTTTGGACCCAGTGAGTTTCTGAATTGTTACTGTTCATGCCACAGACATTGCAAGATTGGATTCCACTCTTGGATCTCCAAAGATGCCTCTAAGGCATTCCCCATCTCTTGAACTTCAAGAGACAATCAAATGTTAAGAGACTACGAGTGCTTCTGATAAAAAAAAAAACAAAAAACCAAAAAAAAAGTCTGGGAAAAAAAAAATCGAGGACCAAATAAAATCAAATTCACATTTGAAGTTTTCCCCCCTAATCTTTCACGTTACAGATCTGACATGGTTTGGCTAGTTTGACAACTCCTGCTTGGATTGAATGGCATAGAGCTCTTATGAAAAACTGTAACAAAAAAGAATTAAAGGCTCCAGACCAGTTCTTGCAGAAGGATTTAAGCTTGTAAGTACGTTACAGAGATCTGCTAGAAGATGGCTGCACAAACAAGAACAGAAATCAGTGAAGTGGTACCTGCTAAGAACCGAGCAGAATGCTGACGTTTTATGCCTTAAAGTGACGAAGTTTGACATTCAGTGCTTTTTCTTTGGACAGTAAATCCATACTGTGCTTTTTGTAAGCATCAAACTGCAGCGAGAGCTCGCTGTAAGCCTGCTGGCTGTTTTTCAGCTCTTGCTGGAGCTCTTGGACCTTCAGATCATAGTTTGCTGCCACTTCTTTAACAATGTTCCTCTCTGCTCTCCATTTGGCTCTTTCTGCCATCTCCAGCTTCCTCCCCAGTTGCATAATTTCCTGTTGCTTTTCTTGCAGAGCTTTGCCCCTTTCTCTGGCCAGGTTCAGCAGCTGCTCTTTCTCCTCATTTGCCCTCTCCAGCTTGGCCTGCAGCTCGGCATCATGAGCCTTCTGCTGGCTTTCTCCATGCTCTAGCTGTTCCACCATTTGTTGGTGCTCCTCCTGTAGGCGCTGCAGCTGTTGTCTTAAGGAGTCAACCTGCAAGATACAGGCATTTGCTTGCTGGCTCTGCGCTTCCAGGAGCTCCTTTTCTAGCTGCTGGGCCCTGGATCTCTCACAAGCACATTTGTCATGCAGAGCATCCAGCTGCTGCGAGAGCTCTCTGGCCTGGGCAGCAAGCTGGAGCATTTCAGCCTCCTTGTCCTTCGCTGCTTGGCTGAGGACGGTTTCGTTCTCCTTCTGCATGTGCTGGTTTTCCTCCTTCAGCTGTGCGTTCTGTTTCTTGTGCTCGTCCTTGGAGTAGATCGTTTTTTCGAGGTTATTGGCCAAATTCTCCAAGTACTGAATCCGCTGGGTTTGGGTTTTTAGTTTCACAGCATCCTCTAGCCTCAGTTTCTCCAGTTCCACGTTAAGCTGCTCCAGGCTCCTGTAGCGTTTGTGTGCATCGTCTGTTTTTTTCTTCAGGATACAGATAAGGCGGTGCTGCTCTTCCAGGCGTGCCCGTAGCAGAGCCTTCTCTCTCTTGTCCTCAGGGCTCCCGCAGGGTGTCTGCATGCCTTTTGTCAGATCTTCTGCATCTTTGCCCATCTCCTCATCACTTCTGTGGTTGGCCATCACTGCCTCTCCATCCTCTTGGGCCATGGAGACACTGTCACACACAAAGACGAAACACTTCAGACACCACTTCTCTTAGTGACATTCAGCAGGTTTGAAGCGTTCCCAGAACTGCTCTAAGCTGGTGGACAGAGAATCCTAAAACCACGAGCAGCCCTGCAGCCCTCTCTGCCTCTGCAGACCCCAGTTCAAAGACAAGCAGACTGAAGAGAAGGATACCGGACTCCATGATGCAAAAGCAAAGAACCGTAGGCTTGGTATTTACAAATTATAAATCTAAGTAGAGCATAGAGAATCAGTTCAATCCTCAAATTGATTTTTACGGTTTTGATAGTATATTATTCATTAAAAATAATAATAGCCTTACACTGTGCTTAGAGATTCATGAATTAAAAAAAAAAAACAACACATCTACTCAGTGGCAATAACTAGTGAATGCACAGTAATAAAGGCAGCGCCTGGAGAGAAGGTTCCTTGTTTGAGCGTTGGTGCTGATTTGCTGAGTCTGGTTTCTCTTCTGAAGGTGTTTGTGTTACAGCAGCAGCATTATTAGTGCCTAATCATCTGGAGTGCTACCCAGATGTACAAAATATTTAAAACTGAAGTACAACTTTCAGATGCAGGCCTTCAGTGACACAGCATGACATGGCCTGCTGATAATCAGGCTCTGAGACCTTCTGTGCCTTGGCTGGAGGTAAAGTTTAGGCATAGGGAAAACTCCTTAGAGAGAGAAGGAAGGATGAAGAACAACATCCAGCAAAAAAATGAACCCAAGCCTGCCAAGTCTGGACAGGTGCCAAGCTGTGACAGCAGGGATGCTGCTTCTGGGTACTCACCTTCCACTGCTGCTGCTTTGGTTCCTGCCAAAACATTCAGCCATAACAGGGAAAGACCAAAAGGCTGAGGCTATCCAGCGGAAAAAAAACAGAGAGGGGCGTAGGAGGACAAGTCTTCTCTGTTGCCAGGTGTTTTCCTTCCTTCGCCTGTTTGTTGACACTCCTAGCACGGGGCTTGTGTCCATGGCAATGCAGGTCTGAATGGGTCACTCCAGAATCCTGCCTTCCAGAAGCCGTGGAAGTAGCTGGGAGTTGTTATTAGCAAACAAATGCTGCTGGCGCTTCCAAGGGCATTAAAAAAAAGCTTCTGTTTTTGTGGAATCCATATATATATATGGACAGAACTTTTATTTTGATAGCAATTAAGTTTTTAACTACTGAAATGTTGTACAGTATAGAACACAGGAGATTACACAGCGCTTGCCTACAAATCTGAAGCCTCAAGACCCCATCTATGAGCTGAGCTCCCCTAGTAATTTTGGCACAGCAATGTGTCTAGGCTTCACAGGAAACAAAACAACGAAAAACTTATATACCTGTTAAATTGTTGGTCATATTTTCAGCAACTTTTTAAGGTGAAAATGAAATCCTGTAGTTAGTGATTACAAATAGAGGTTTCTCTCAGACATAAATGATTGTTCTTTTATGAGCCAGTGTGCATACTACGCCTCAGAACAACATATCTGTACTTAAGTGGTACAGCAGTTGCTTTGCTTTTGTGTTCTTAGTTGGCCTCCCCTGACTGGGTGGTGATTCTAGAAAAGCAAAGTGCAATCTGCACCAGCTACTTACCTTGTCCAAAGCAGCTGAGGCAGTAAGGGATGGAGACTCATTGCTCTTTTTGCAATCTCCAGGCTGCCCAGCTGATGAAAGAATGGCTGTTCCCCAGCAGGTTGAAAAGCACCTTTTTTTTTTTTTTTTCCCTCCATTCATGGCATACAACAAATAACCAAAGAGTCTGAGCATTTACATTTTCATGATTAAATTAAGCAACTGATTTGAAGCTGCAAAGAGCCATTTTTTTTCCTCCCTAATCTTAGATGCAGGATTTTTCCAGCCTCTGGATCCTTGCAGCTACTGCAAATAAACATGTATTTATTATATTTATTTCATTATATTGCATATTCATACTGACTAGCTAACAAAGCACTGAGTTTTAATAAACAAATTCTTATTTAGATTTAATTCCATTTAAGGCTGCTTTTATTATTATTATTTTTTTTTTTTAAGTAATACCCTTTGTGTTTTATGCATTTATCTTCCCTTAGTGGCATGCGTTTCCACAAGTGACAAATCCCTGTCCCATTTCATGTGCTGCAGAGCTCTTTAAACCAGGACCAGCCATAATCCCAGCGTTCTCCTAACGGTGGCGCTGAAGAACAGAGAAATGATTTTGGCAAAACAAGCTAACAGATGCAGGTACAGATAATGAGTACACTTTACAAAATAAATACCCAATACTTTAATCATCATTAAAACTGGCAAGTATATATCCTTTAGAGTAGCATTTGAATGAACAAGTTTGACTCCAGTGCCTTCAATATTTAAAAGTAATGTTGATTTATTAGCAAGGTGATGAACAAATGTATAAGCAAACTTTATAAACTTAGTTTTTCCTAGTAAACTGGAATTAAGAGTCCTCTGCACCTTGCAGAATAAGATGTCAACAGTTCCACTTCAAGTAGTGCTTCTTCCATTATAGAAGCAACTTTATACCATATAAAAGTACAACCACAGGTAAAGGGACTTATTTAAAAAAAAAACATTCTGCACAGTCCTTGCTGGAGAGATCCAATGTAGCATAATGAGGATTCAGCTGTAGAGGGATGCTGAGAAGCATGAACAAAATGCCACCTGTTGCTAATGAGTCATTAAAACACTTCACAAACAATCCAGGAAGTGCCAAGTTTACTTGCTTTTCCTTTTTTTTTTTTTTTTTTTTTTTGCAATTAGAACACACTTTCAGCAATTTAGATTTAAGGAATAAGCAACACTTAAATTAGGCAACACAAGCATTCAGGTATCACAGACTCCTCTACCTCTCAATTGCTAGGTGCATTCTTACTCGAGTATATTTTCAGTGAAGAAGAACTAGCCCTTTAATTTGCATAGATCTGCAGGCAGAAGTGTAACTTGAAATATGAAGTGACACTTGATAGCAGAGAAACAGAACAGCCACAGAACACAGACTATAAAAGGAGCTACTGTGCTCCTCTTCCAAGCTTCACCACCACACCTTTTGATTCCATTCCCAAGAATTCTTTTTGCTGCTAGCAATCAGAAAGCCCTTATTTTGTCAGTTTTGCAACCATAAGCATCCTGAGAGGTAGTGTATCTTCCACCCATGTGTTGGGCGACTTTATCATCTTCTCCCACAGGGCAGATTCGTCTGAAGTAGAATCCATCCAGTCCACTGTAGTTCCATAACTTTTGCCTAGAAAAACGTCAGACACATTAATCACTTAATATTATGCAAAGTTGAGAGCTGACAATCAGATTTGCCTGTCTTCTCAAGCAGTTTCACCTCCTCAGGTCATGCTTTCGAGATCTGACTCAACTTTTATGGTTGGACAATTCCATCAAATGCAATTAGTGACGATTCTGCACACAAACTGCGTTAGCTTTCTCCACTTGTTAAGACTAAGTTTGATGTTTACTGACCTCACTTGTGTTTTAAGTTATTCTGCTGAACCATCTGAGAATTCATTTTTTCTTGCTTTTGCTTTGAAAGACTGTAAATGCATCGTCCCTCCTCGGATAGAACGGGACATATATATACATACACATATATAACAACTGGGAAAAACATGCAGTTCTATCTGTGTATCTCACACTGCCTTTCTGCAAATAAACATCTTTGCATTTATAAGTTTCCACATCCAAAATGTTCAAATCTTATCAAACATTCCCAATCTATCCTTTTATCTCCACCCAATACTGATTCTACACCACCTATCTGGTTTTTGCAGAAGTTTGTGGTATGTCGTCAAGATTCTGGGTGCAGAAATAGCATATTGTATTTCATACCAGGTACGATGTAAGGACAAAGGTTTATTTCTACTACACTTGTTCTAAATTGTAAATGGAAGTTGTATTAGGGCCGAGTGACAAGGCAGGATCCCTGACAAAGAACAGATAACTCACTGAATGAAACTCTTAAGCAAATAAATGGCTGGAAGGCTGTTATTTTTTATTTTTTTAAAAGAAATGGAAAGGGAAAGGATAGAAAGGAAAGACAATTCTGTAAATTAAGGATTAATTTCTTCATTTCTAGTACCTATTCCAAGGCCTATCCTGAGACCTCCCAGAAAATGGTTGACAAGTTTGTTGTGATCCCAGACTGTGAGTTCTACGCAGGCTTCTTTCAAATCTTCTGGTCTAAAACCATCATAGACCATGGTATGGTTGAATACTGGGTTTGTAGTTTTTGACACCGTTCTTGTTTTCTGGCGACTTTTTCTGCTGGTATCTGGAAGAATTGTACTTCAGACAGAAAAAAAACCACTGTCAGTTTGCACTGCAAGTTAACGGTGTAACTGGCATTAAATGTATTCCATAAACAAAAACTACTGATTAACACTCCTTTGCATGTTGCAAAGCAACTGAAGATAAAATGGCTCAGCATCTTGGAGAAAAATTCAAAGGTCGTGTTCTCAGACCCTTCCAAGAAGACTCTCATACTTCAGAGGACAGAAGGGAAGAGGCACAAGTGAGTTTGTTTGCTGGATTCTCACTGATTTCCCAGAGTTCCCAACCATCTTGCTGTCCTCTTTACATTTTAAATCAGTTTGTAGAGAGGAAGAAATACAGCTGTGCCTCTCACTTCTGTCTTCTCCCCTGATTCAGTAAACTGAAGCATACTCTTGCACAAACCTGCTTGGTTTAAATACAACTTGTACCAGACACAAAACTTCACTTAAATCTAAGTAGCCCTTCCACCAACAAGCTAAGCATTTGAAATGAAAGGGTGGTGGCTACTAAGACAGTTTTCCCAGTACATCTTACTTGGTAGTAAATACTTGCATCTTGAAGTTACAAGCCCTGCAGGACAATTTGCATTACAGTAAAGAAAAATCAGAAAGTAATTTAAGTAGTTGTAGTTTTGGGTTTGATTTAAACATAGAAAATTGAAGGTAAAATTAGAAATAACAGTGGCATTATTGTGCCACCATTTTTGATGACTTCAACCACAGTTCTTACCACTTAATAAAAGAGTTGAGTCTGTTGCCCCTCAGAAGAGGAAGATCACGGCATTCCTTCACCCAGATGTGGACCTCACCAGTGGACAGAATCTTCTTTCCTTTAAAATGACAATAAGAAATCCTGGCTCTGATTAATCTTTGTAGGTTCCTAGTGTAGCCTTTACCATTGCTTATACTTTCAAATAAACTCCTCTGTGCTCTTAATATATTTCATTCTTATCAATTGGCTCGCTGGATTGAAGACCTGACCTAGCTTCAATGTCAGGCCAGCCAGTTATAAATTGACAGGCAAGAACAACCTAAAAGATCATACAGCTACTTCCATGAACATGCATTGTAATTGTTTGTGTAACAAATCACAGCAACTGTCTGATGATTTCATAATCTCCAAAACTGTTAGAGAGTAAAAAAAACATAAGTACAGACTAGATTAACTGGACTGTACATCTAATTCTACAACAGAGAAGAGACCAACCCCACCCTGTAAGCACCTTTCAGATATTGAAAGAGAATAAGGTCTCCCCTCAGCCTCCTTTTCCCCAGGCTAAACAGCCCCAGTTCCTTCAGTCTCTCCTCATATGGCACCAAGCCCTTCACAAGCCTTGTTGTCCTTGGACCTGCTCCAGCACTTCCATGTCCCTACTGTACTGAGGTGCCCAAAACTGAACGCAGTACTTGAGGTGAGGCCTCACCAGTGCCAGGAGCAGGATGACTTCCCTGGTCCTGCTCACCACACAGGAATAAAGGGGAAGAGGGTGAGAGTCAGTGCTAGTCTTTACAGGCAGGCCTTCACAGCTGGCCTCCTGGAAAAGCTGAGAGCTCCTCCCCCTCACCCCCTCACCTAGAATTGGAAGATCACGTCTCCCAGAGCCAGAACTCACATGAAATAGCTGAGTCTGCTAGAAGCACAACACATAGAAAGTGCACCCAGCACTGTGCTTAAGCATCAGACAGCTTGCCACAGGATGCTATTATATAGAATACTGCTAAAAGCAGGACACCACCCAACCCACCCCTTGCCCCCAGCTAAAACTCCAAATCCCTGGCAAACTCCAAGAAGCAATGCATACCTCCAACAGGTTGTGGAACATACTGGAGGGCTAGTTTCATCTCCCCTCTGTTTTCTAGTTCAAAAGCCATTGCTGAAGTCTGAAATTTAAGAAAAAACATCTCAAACACTACTGTTCACACACACAAAACTTCACACAGTAACAAGACTGACTCATACATGATAATTTTTTGTCCTGTTTTCTTCTTCAGTCTTCCCTCAGTTTAGAGCACACCACAGATTTAGGGCAAGCTGAGCTATTTGACAGTGCCTCAGATACATAGTTCCACCACTAAAATGATGGACAAGACCCAGGAGAGATCAAAAGCCCTGGAGAGCACTTCTTTTCCATTGTTGTGTACTTAGAAAGTGGTACATAAGAAACTTGTTCTTTGTGCAACAGAAATTATACTTCATAAACTCACTTCTGTAGGAATAGTTATCTGGAAATCAGCCTCAGCAGCAGTTATCTTGCAAAAAGGCATAAGTATTTGTTACTTTTTCATATTCATCTCACTTCTTCACATTGAAAAAAACACAGAAGACACAGATGAGGCCTAAATAAAAAATGATTTGGTCTTTCACATGCAGCAGAAAATACAGAACAGCTAACCCATCCTTAATAACATACCCTAGGCTTGAGTGGAAACCAGTTGATCTGCTTGTTGGATTTATCATTCCAGTCCCAATTTCCTAAATCCAGCTCCACTTCACCAAGGAAGCTATTCCTCCCAAAGGTATCATTGTGCCAGACAGAGATATTAAGGCTTTGGTTCTTTAGGAGATCTTTCTCAATTTTGTACTGCCAGAAGGGAGAAATGAAGGGGAAAACAAAAATGACACAGTTAGAGAAAAACGTGTCTGAGTTTATAACATACATAACTGCTCACTTCATTTCAAGACAAAACACTCCTCATATTTTAATATTTCAAATCTTAAGTTCCTAAGTAGCTTGAGTTTGTTTGCAAGTATTTCCCAACAGTCAGTGTTCTCAATCTAGAGAATATTATAAACTATCGATGGATAAACATAGGTACACCTGCAGAGCGATTCATCTTAACACAAATATCTCTTTTGAGAGCATCTGAATCTGGAAAGTTAGACTTTCCTATTCTTCGTGCCTAATCTGTGTTTGTTGTATACCCGCAGTATTTCATTGAAGACTGGATTAAAAGTTTTCTTTTTCACTGAGGTCTTCCGTTTGCCCAGCTTATATTTCTCTGGAAGCAAGTAGGTCTTCACATACCTAAAATGTAAACAGATTGGTAATGGAGGCAAGAAAACACCCCTTCCAACTTCCTATTCCAAAATACACAAGTATTTACTTTCAAAGTAAAAGAAATCCACTTAACTAAGTTCCCCTTAATCTTGGAAGTTAAAATTTAAAATAGAATTTCACATTCTTAGAAGTTTGAGGTTCCCACATTAATGTATGTAAATTTATACAGCAATTCTAGATCCAGTTGAGAGTAGAAAAACATGTAAAGCATGTTATAGCCTCCACTTATTTGGTTGTTTACTCAATCATACAGATCTGTTGGAAAGAAAATACAGTTCTCATCTGCACATTAAAAGTAAAAATTACACTAGGAAGAAGATATTCTGTTTTTACTTACGGGTCTGACCGCTGTCTCTTGACGTCTGCAACTGCCAGGTCTTTACATTGGCAAATGAAAATGTGGAGTTCGTTCAGTTGTTCTACGTAATCAATAGCAAACTGAATGTTCCCCTTCACATCGACACTGCCGAAGTCTCCACTATAGACACTCATTAAGCTTCCACTCACCTGTATCACACACAAGGAAAAAAAAATTTCTAGCTTTGCATTTTTACCAAATAATTCAAGAGAGCAGAAGTTACCTTCAGGATTCAGACAATAAAGAAATTAACTATGACCCTCCAGATGTAGTTATGAAATATAGTAGACATATTATACAAGTTCCTTCGTGAGCAGGTTAGCAAAAGGAAGAATGTTATTTGTGAATCTTAAAAGGTGTCAGGCCAAGTTTTCTACAGTAACAACAGAAAAACTTACTTATTGCATTGAGGAAGAATAAAAATGTGATAGGATGCTCTACATTACAGATTGTGTGAGATCATGTCCTCGAGATATTATGTGTGTATCCCTTCAGCTTATCTTTGCAGAAGGCAGAGCCTAAAGCTTTAGGACAACCTACCTTCTGAAAATACCAACAAATAAATTGACAGAATCTTTATGTGCCTGAATTAAGTGCCAAAAGAAAACATACTTGAAAATTAAACCCTGGACAGGTAGAAAGAGAAGAATATATGTTTGTTTTTTTTATTTTCTTAGAATTGATTATCTAGTTCACCCCACATAGCAATACTGTCCTTCTTTCACTTATTTTCTCCTTTACCCCTTAATCCATTTCTGTTTATCCTGTATAAATTATTCGCCACTTTTGCTACAACTTTAATCTGTTAATGTAAAAGCCTCTTTGTGTAGAGTTCATAGAGTATGCTGTAGAATGGGACCAAGCAAGTTCCAGCATACTGCTAGAAAACAAAAAAAAATAATAATCTTTATCTATTTTTAAAGGCAATTCCAAGCAAAGGTTCACATAACAGAAAGAGCAGGGAGAGGGAAGGAAGGAGAGAGATGCCAGGGAAAGAAATAGAAGAGAAAGAAGGAAGCCAAAACAATTCTGAAGAGATTAGCAAAAATAAAGTGTCACTAAAACAAGGCTTTTGTGTACATACAGAGGATAAGGAGGCCATGCCAGAAGAACCGCTAAGATTGGTTAGAGAGCTGGGACTCTTCTTGATTCTGCCAAAGGAATAACTGCTTTCTGATGCTGTATCTGTCTCTCTTTCATCACTCTACAAAAACATCACAGAAAGAAGGTCTGTGTAGGTTCTTTGTTGTTACAAGGAACATTAAAAAAAAAAAAAAAACGATTTTAATAACACAAATTGGGACTCAAAGAAAGCTAGAATTTAAATTTTCTAATATAATAATAGAATATATAATAATAATAATATTATATATATATATATTAATATATATAATATATAATAATATAATAACAGAAAGCTAAAACATTTTTAAAGCAATAATGCAACTGGTTTTTTTGGTTGTTCTTAAATCTCAAATAGCAATGTAAAGTACAAAGTTAATTTTATTGGGCCAATTAAAACTCAACTTCTCTACTTCACTATGCTGTGCATAAACTTATGCAAGTGATAGTGCTCAGGTCTTTCACCAGTCCCTTTCTGCTATACAGAGAATGCCATCAATTCTCCCATTCCTTCAAGGCAAAGTTAGTTGCAAAGTAACATGCACAGTAAAACAGCACTGGATGAAGTGATTGGCTTTTGAAAAAATGCTTATTTTGCAAGACAGCAGGCAAGGAACTGCTTTTACACCAAGAAACTGCAGTTTTGGGTTACTTGGTCATCATCAGGCACTATGCTTACAACCCACTCATGACATCTCCATGCCATCACTGGACAGACTTGATGCTTCTTTCCACACAAGCTTTCCTATGCAATTTGCTATAAAAAGCATTGTCTCCCTGATGCGTTCCATTTGTCAACAATGCGCAAGGCTGCCCCCCTTCATTTATGAAGATGAATCACTGTCATTGATATTCTACTAACAAATGCAAACTAACAACAATTTCTACACACATTAAGAATATCTGCAGAGATAAGTTGAGTTTGGCCACAACTCCAGGCAACACTACAGGCTTGAGGCAGAGTGGCTGAAGATTCTGTGAAAGAAATGGACCTGAGGGTGTTGGTCAACACTTGGCTGAACGTGAGCCAGCAGTGTGCCCAGGTGGCCAAGGCCAATGGCATGTTGGCTTGTATCAGAAAAAATGCAGCCAGCAGGACAAAGGGAGGTGATTGGGGATCGTCCCTCTGTGCTCAGCTCTGGTGGGGCCAGGCTGCATCTTGAGTACTGCGTTCAGTTTTGGGCCCATTGCTAAAAGAAAGAAACTGAGGCCGTGGAGCATGACCAGGGAAGGGCAACAGAGCTGTGAGGGGTCTGGAGCACAAGTCTTAGGAGAGCCGCTGAATTTGCTTAATTTGGAGAAGAGGAGGCTCAGGGGAGACCTTATAACTCTCTGCAACTCCCTGAAAGGAGGCTATGGTGAGGTGGGGATTGGCCTCTTCTCCCCTGTAAGTAGCAATTGGATGAGAGAGAATGGCTTCAAGTTGTGCTAGGGGAGGTTCAGGTTTGAGAGCAGAAAAATTTCTTCTCCAATAGAGTAGTCAGGCACTGGAACGGGCTGCCCAGGGAGCTGGTGGAATCACCATCTCTGGGGGTGTTCAAGAAATGTTTAGATGATACCACAGAATCACAGAATGGCCAGGGTTGGAAGGGACCTCAAGGATCATTAATCTCCAACCCCCTGCCACATGCAGGGCCACCAACCTCCACATTTAATACCAGTCCAGGCTGCCCAGGGCCCCATCCAACCTGGCCTTGCACACCTCCAGGAACGGGGCACCCCCAGGCTCTCTGGGCAGCTGAGGTGTTCCAGCACCTCACCACACTTTCTGTAAAGAACTTCCCCCCGACATCCAACCTAAATCTTCCCTCCTTCAACTTAAAACCATTTCCCCTTGTCCTGCTGTTATCTGCCCTTTCAAAGAGTTGAACTAAGTTGAACTATGTTGTACTAAGGGACATGGGTTAGTGGGGAAATATGGTTGGTAAGTGGATGGTTGAACTAGATGATCTTGGAGGTCTTTTCCAACGTTGGAGATTCTAAAATTCTATGATTCTATTTTGTTATCTACAGAGCTACCTCTTTTAGACATTTATGTTTGGAGACTGGTGTTTGGTTTATATACAGTCTCAACACCTTTCTCTGCTCACTGTTTGGGAAGGCACAGGCCAGGTTCCAATAGCTTATCTTTTTCAAACTTTGGTGTCATTTTAGGAGCTATGAACATGCCCTCAGAGTTTATTCCACGGCCCATGCCATACTCTTACAAATCATACTGAGTTAATTACATTAATTTTTTATGTTAATTAAATTACATAAAAATTTATGTTAATTAAATTACATAAAAATTAAATAAAATACATTAATTTTTTATGTTTAATTACATTCGTAAAATGATTTACGAAGACATTGCTGGAAATACTGAGCTTTGATTTAGAGAGCCTAGTACCTGAACCTCCATCCCAAACTACTGCACCTCTGAGAAAAGTCACCAGAAGATGCCATTACGTATAGTCTTACACACTCATTCAAACATTTTAGGCTCTGAACAAAACAAATACGTTAATGTATGCATGTTCTGAAGGTAAAAGACTTGTTATTTTAAGATTAGAAATTGCCTTTGGGAATAACAGCTAACATTCACTATGCTTCAATCTCCTAGATAGAACATGCTCTTTATGTAGAGCTGTACAGCAGGAATAAAAGTTACTGAAGTGTCTGAAAGGTTAATAAGCTACAGGTTGCTTGCGATCATCCTGATTGTTATACTGCAAACAGTTACATGCTATGAGCAAGTAGTAAACTGGCTTGGCAGAACCTGGGAAACACTATTTGGCAAATGCATAATGCCACAGCAATCAAAATTTTTAATTACAGTTCTTCAAGAGATGTAACATACCTCCTCCTGTAGGAATGATGGTACTGACTTGCTCAGTCCTTTGACTTTTTCAGGGTTGGAAAACGGCTTATCAGGCTGTGAAGGCACTGTGGAGACTAAAGAGCAGCAATTCAAGTTTCAAAAAAAAGCTCGGACATCAAAAGAGTGAGATTCCATAGCAGGGCATGGTTAAAAACAACCAACCTCAGATGAAATACATGCACATGCACAGAAAACCTTACATCTAAGTTGTAAACTTTCTTCTAGAACTCAGAGCTGCTACCATTAGGAAGGATCTAGATTGACATCTGTAACTCTGGCCACAAAACTTTCTCTGTCAGAAGACAAAATGTTTGCATTGCTTGACAATGGATAATTCTGAGTGCTGAAAGTTCATTATGATAAAATATGATCTATTTACCTTCCAGATTTTCTTTTTAGAATAAGTATTCTCATGCACCAACCTTGCCATTGTTAACATTAGAGTCATCAGAATGTTTTTGGTAAGAAGTTGGTCTACATGCCAAACTATATATATTTTTTTTTATTTCTCAGTCCAATTAATGGCAAAATATGTTTGGGTGAGTCAAGAAATGTTTACATTTGAACAAGGTCTCAAGCATGGAGTATTCCTAGTTAATTCTAAAAGCATATCTCAATGATGCAGTTTCTTACTGCCAATCTATTTAACTTTCATAGAATCCTAGAATATCCTGAGTTGGAAGGGACCCACATGGATCACTAAGTCCAACTCCTGGCTCCACACAGGACCACCAAAAATTCAAACCCTGTGTCTGAAAGCACTGCCCAAATGCTGCTTGAACTCTGGTAGCCTTGGTACCGTTACCACTCCCCTGAGGAGCCAGTTCCTTGCTCAAACTTTGCTACACCTTCACTGAAATTCACTTCTGTGCTCTTCATTTATTTCTTTACACAAACTAGCCTTTCAAAGATCTAATTTCACTGTAAGTTCTCCACTCTTAGAATTTTTCATGCTCTAAACACATATTTAATGATACACTAAAGCTCTACATTACAGGTCTTTACACCAGATACACATGGTGAAATATATAATACTGAATATCCCATGACAGAATTTTTTGGCAATGGACAGCCAGCTACAAAGCCATGCATGTACCTGTTGTACACATTTTAACACCACACACATGCTGGGATTGTTTCTAAAGAGTTAAGCTTCTTCCAAAGCATTTGATGATGAAGCTCAAACAGTGGTTAGGATATCAATTATTGTCAGTATGCAGTTAGATGCAGTTACTTTATTCAGCCATATTCTAGTCCAGATGTGCAACTTGTTAGTTGTTAAATGATAAAAAAAAAATCTTTAATGTGTTAGTTTAAATATCAGTGGAGAAACTTCTCCATTGTCAGTTTGAAGAATCCTATTACTCACTTCCTGCTCCATTTTCATTCCTCACTTGATGCTGATCAGGTTTCAGACCTGCTCAGTGCAGTATTGACAACAGTCAATAGTGGCACAAACAGCTTTACAGTTTTATAAATAACATCAACATATTTTGTGTGTGACAAGCCTTTACTTTTCTAGATCCTCATGAATGTTTAAGCTTTTCATCATTCTTTATAGGAGCTAAATCACTATAGAGGGAACATGAATGTGTAAGCTTAGCAAAACAAAATAATATTTTCAAGAGAATTTGCTCTACCTGTATCTGTACAGTTATTAGTTTGGCTGGGTTAATCATTTTCTCAGAACTTCACTCATGGTATTTAACAACACATTTAACTAAAAAAAGCCACCCTTTCCAGATAAGTGCCTACATATTGAATATATAATGTGCTTTCAGTAAGGCTTTCCATCTGAAGGCAGCATTGTGTACTTAAGTACAGAGTTTTTAAGACTTGTTAACATACTGGACATTGCATAGATTCTATTCTGTTACAGACCACTAACATTCAAAATGCTTTGAAGTTAACAAAAATGCAGCTTTACACAGCTATTTTTAAAACCACAGTGCAGTGGGTAAGAAAGAATTGTGTTACATTCCAGCATATTCAGTGTTACTTAATGGTTCTCCAGCATGTTCACTTTGACATGATCTTGGAGCAGGTTTGCTTTTGTTTTGCTTAGATTTGAAATTTCTGAAGGAACATACAAAAAATTAACAGTAAGGCATCTGTAATGCATTAATAGATCAATGTTATCTGCAGTAGCCAATCCAGTGTCATATTTTGCTTAAACTAATTCTACTTTGGTGGATTGAGACAGCAAAGAGATCCTTTTCGATGAATGTATTGTGGAGGGCTTTCTTTTTGTCTTTTTTTTTTTTTAAAGTCATTTTGCATGCTATAATGTGACAGATGAACAAATCCAATATGGAATTAGACCCAGCTCTTCAGCTAAGCTAGTGTTCAAAGCTCTAAATGAGTACAGAAACTGTTTCAAGGCTGAATGACCAAAGGCCAAAATAAGACTGATAGATGACACAAAGTTTGTACATGTATCACATGATGTAACCTGAGTCTAGGACTTTAGAATAAAATAAGAAAATTCTACAAAAGCTTTTAAGTCATGCTGAAGTTAGTCTAATTTCAAAGAATAGTACAATTCTTGGCTTCAAAAAACGTTCACTAGCAGAGAATACTGGAAAACAAACTTCCATGCAGACACACAAGATATTTACCATCTTCAGCACTAAGAGCTAATTCTTCCTTTGGAATATTTATTTTTCCTTTATCTGTGCAGGAAAAAAGGTAACATGTGGTTAGAAAGCTTGCTGTTCATTACAGTGAAACGGATTGTAGTAGAAATCACAAATTTACGGAGAAAAATAAAAGAGAAAAAACAGCAGAACCACAGGAATGGTTAATTCAAGAGATGTTTTCTACTTGTAACGCTTACTTCAATTCTGCATCCAAGAAGCAGTACCATCTTGACACAGTTTCTATCAGCGTGCTGTTACAAAAGTGTTAGTGCATACCTACATCCTGCAACTAGTTAGAAGTGAGCAACAGCATAAATAGAGTCAGAAGATTAATTTGCCAACAACAGCCAACATCTTTCAAAATCTACACCTCCACCCTTCAGTTCACATCTTCCCCATGAGACATGAAATAAACATAAAAACACCAAGGAGCAGGGTGAATGCAGAAACAAATTACAACAGTAAACAATAATAATAGTTTTAGGAGGCTACAGAGAGAGCCCAGGAATGATTCCTAAGTTCAGTCTTGTCTCATTCCATTCTCTTAAAATGAGCCTGGTTTTATTAACTGCTAGAACAGGTGAACCTACTAAACTAAGACAATTTTTTCATGCTTCCACTGACTACTTGTTTGAGCCAAGCAAGCAGCCAGGACAGAACTGCAGTTGCAGCTCATTACTGATTTGGGTGGTTGTTAATATTTTCACCACTGAAAACTTTCTAACCATCGAAGAAAATGTGTGTAACATGGTGATTTTTTGGAAGATGTCTGCTTCACAGAGCAGTGTTTCAAATGAAAAACTAAGAACTGAAAACTAAACCATATGAGAAAAAAAATCAGTTTTACAATACAAACTTCACACTGCTTACTGACAAACAAAAAAAGATAAAAATACTGCTTGGCAAAGTTGTATGGAAAAACAGCATAAGCATGCTTAAGCCAAACTAGAGGTCATGGGAGACACACACAAGCTTTGTGCTCACTTGAGGTAGCTGATGGAATGTCCTCTAGACTTTTGGAAGGCATTTTCCTATCTGCACTCCTTTTCAAAGCCATCAAAACAGGATTTAACTCTTCTTCTGAACCTGTTATGAGACAAAACACATGAACACTGCACACACAGACATGCCTTTTAAACAAGTCACTTTAAAAAAAAAAAAAAAAGCCAACCACCAGTTTCTTCTGGGAATCTGTTTTGACCTTCAGCAAAGACATTGAGCATGCACTGAAAATACTAAATAAATCCAAACATGGCATGTTCTAGAACCTTCAAAATTTCTCAGACTCTGTAAGTAAGCAGAGCATTTCCAGTCTCTCAGGAGCAGAATAAAAAGGTTAAACTATCACACTAGAGCTGCCAACTTAAAGTTATGCAAGTTCTGCTAAATAGCTTGCTTCATTTATACGCTTGTTTCCTTGTGTAACAGGCAGCAATGCAATGCTAAGCTAAACAGCATAAAGTACTGGCATTGTCTTAATATTCAGCCACTCCATCAGTTTTTACCTTCAAAGACAAGCTGGCCAAACTAAAGAATGATCTCAGTCAGGCACTGATTTTATTTCCTCTTTTAATCCAGGGTATTTAGAAGAAATACCAGAATCTGAGTGTTACAGTGTTATTAATTTGAAAGAAATGTCATAGGGGAGGAGTGAAAGGGTAAGAGCATGAAGACTGATGTGACTGACTCATGCTGCTGAATTCCTATGATCACAAAGGCTTACCCAAACATACTACATGTTTGTCAAACGATCTCCAATTAAAAGACTTAATTAGTTCTTCTCATCCTTCCAAAGCAAATATCGTAAGCATTCAATTAAGAAATAGGTATCACATAGACTTTTAGATAATATACTTCAAGTGGACTACCAGAAAAACTGTAGTTATGCTTAAGAACCCAGCACCATGAATTTTAGAAAAGAAATGGCTCACGAGTCGAACTTCCGGTTCCAGAATAATAATCAGAGTTTTCATCTGAAAGCTGGGATCCAAAATTCAAGCTGTCACCATTTTCTTCATCATTATCTTCACGCTGAAAGGCCAAGCTGAACTGAGCTCCTTCCAGCTGAGGAGAACTGCTCTCATCTTTAAGAGGTGTGCTTGTTCTTCTCAATTTCAACAGTTCTTTTAATTGTGAATTATCTTCTGAAGCATCCAAGGATGTGCTCTCACCTTTCCTTCCTACTTCATTTATCTTGAATGGCTTGATCGCTGTATTGGTCTCTCCTTGCAAGGAAGGAAGATCTATTGCAGGTGTGTTTCTCTGTTCTTTTTTAATAGTAGCCCCATCTATTTTAAGGAGCTCAGACACTTCAGGAGTTACGAGATCATCTACAGAAGCTTTTACATTTTGTTCTGGAACTCCATTCTTGATAGCTGTCTTCTGTTTATGACAGCTACATACAGCATTATCATAAGGCTGTGACACTGTCACAACTAGAGTCTTTGTTTGTGGTGGAAACACCCTATTCCCAAACTTTTCTTGTTTACTTAATGCTTTGGATATTGGAGATGAAGCTTCAGATGCTTCTTGAAGAAGTTTTTCCAACGAGCTACTGAATTCTTTGAATTTTTCACTATTTGAAACAGTAGTTTTTTCTATCGTTTCTTGCATTTCTTGAGGGTGATCTCCTTCTTCTTGACGTGCCATACACATACTTTGACTAGTTGGTATTTTACTTTGCATTTTCTTATCCATATTTTCCAGCGTAGAAGCTGGTGTTTCACAGACATCTCTCAGTACCTTCTGGAAATTAATATCCAGTGCTTTACTTTTAGCCTCAGACAGTACAGATGTTTCCTGCAGCAACTCACCACTGTGATGACAGGACATGTTTCCCACTTGCATATCAGCTGTCCTCTGCACTGTGCCATCCATACGCCTTGGTTTAGGAGGTGGTGTTTCAGAAGCCTCCTTCAGCAGCTTTTCCAGAGAAGAACTCAAGCCATTGTCCCTACAGGGGGCAATAGACTTTTCAATGGTCTCACTGATCTCTCGCAGTGTTTCTCCATCATGCTGACAGGCAGTGTTTTTAACTTCCATCTCAGCAGTCCTCTGCACTGTCATGTCCACACATCTTGGTTTAGGAGGTGGTGTTTCAGAAGCCTCCTTCAGCAGCTTCTCTAGAGAAGAACTCAATGTACTGAGCTTGGAAGGAACAACAGACTTCTGTACAGTCTCACTGATTTCTTGCAGTGACTCTTCATCATGCTGATACTTTGTGTTTTTAGCTTGCATTTCAGCAGTCCTCAGTACTGTACGCCTTGGTTTAGGAGGTGGTGTTTCAGAGGCCTCCTTTAGCAGCTTTTTTAGAGCTGAACTTAAGCCACTGACCTTAGTAGGGGCATTAGATTTCTCTATAGTCTCAATGATTTCTTGAAGTGATTCTCCATCATGCTGACAGGCAGTGTTTTTAACTTCCATCTCAGCAGTCCTCTGTACTGCCACGTCCACACGTCTTGGTTTAGGAGGCGGTGTTTCAGAAGCCTCCTTCAGCAGCTTCTCTAGAGAAGAACTCAAGCTGCTGACCTTAGAGGGAGCAACAGACTTCTCAACAGTCTCACTGATTTCTTGTAGTGACTCTTCATCTTGCTCATACTTGGTGTTTTTAGCTTGCATTTCAGCAGTCCTCTGTCCTGCACTGTCCGCATGTCTTGGGTTAGGAGATGGAGTTTCAGAGACCTCCCTTACCAGGTTTTCTAGGCTCAAGCCATTGACCTTGGAGGGGGCAAGAGACTTTTCTATTGTCTTGATGACATCTTCAGACAGACCAGTATCTTGGTGGCATGTTGAATCTACACTACAATTAGTTTGTGCTGTATTATTCACGGTATCAATCGTTTTCATCCCTACAGCTAATTCAGAAGGTTGATATGCAATGATTTCTCTGGGAAGGTTTTGCTCAGAGTACCTCTGAGAACCTCTGGGAGGATGTTCTTTTGATGAAACAATATTTTTATCTATGTGTTCTTTAACTTCTTGCCTTTGAAGACCTGTATTTTCATGGGGTTGAGAAATGATTGGCTTTTTGACCAGCTGGACAGCGTCTTTACCTTCTGTGGGTGTCACACTCAAACCTCTAAAAGTAAGAAATCCCACAGGCGGTTTGCATGCCACAGAATCTAATTTCCCTGTTTTTTCTTCCTGGGATGCTTGTGTTTGATGTTGGCTTAACTCTTGTTTGCTCACATTATCTCTGCCCTTACCTTTCTCTGCATTTCTGCCATAGGTTATAAAAGTATTATTACTAATAGCATTATTTGGAGAAGAAACATCTTCCCTATCAATGCTATTTTGTAACTTAACTCTATTATCCCAAAAGTTTCTCAGACTCTGAAACTGTGAAGGACTTGAAATTTGATTCTTGGACATCTCATTACTCTTCTCTTCAAAAGACAAAGCCTGAAAACTGGACTTCTGTTGGGAAAAAGCAGCAACTTTTCCTTTAAATGCTTCTTTCCCATTGTTATCTTTGATTTTAGGGGAAGCTGAAGTGACACCAACTCCTGACTGCAAGACACTGTCTCTTGTCAATTTTGTATGTTCATTAACTTTATCCTCATATGGAAGTGGTCTTTCTGTTTTTTTAACAGCATGGCCTGATCCAAACTCAGAAGAGTTTTGATGTCTGTTTTTTGAAGCCTGGATTGCACATCTTAATTCAGCACTTAATGTACTCTTGCTCTGATCATCTAATCCATAAGGTAAGTATAGTGCAGTTGGTTTTATTTTGTCGCTTTCTTTGAGACCTTCTATTGCACCACCACCTGATGTATTAATATGGATACCAACTTCTTTCTCTCCATGACTGGGGATAGTTTCCTGCCTTTCCCAAAATGCTCTAATCTCCCTAATTCTTCTTTTTGCTCTTATTGCCTTTTCCAATACACATTTCTGAGCTGGTAACACGTGTTCATGACGTTTCAAGACATTTATTTTATTTTGTTGCTTGATTTCTTCATCAGATTCTTTTGCTTCAATTCCTGTGTAGTCAAGCTCACTGAGGGATTTCTCATTTTGATCCTCATTCTCTCTACCGTGCTTAGGTTTCCTCCTCTCTTTTATCAGTTGTATGTCTTCTGAAATAAATGTGGTGGGTGAAATAGCATTCAGTTGTTTATTCTTTCCATACAGTAACTCTTCTCTAACCTGCATTTTTCTATCCACACTAGTTCCACTGTGCTCTGTGGGAAGAACTGTTCTGGTTGTAAAGTTCACTTCTTTGAGTTCCCCACCTTGGGATCTGGCTGATTCAGTTTTCCTATCTTCAGTACCAGAACTTCTTTCAAACCAATCTAAGACTTCTGATACAGAGTCATCAGCCACTTCCACAATTTCAGCACCATGCTTGTCAGGCTTGAAAGCGGTTTTAGCATCTCGTTCCTCAACAAGATCAGGCTTACCTTGTTGAAGACCTGCAGAATTTATATCTGACAGTTCTTGTGTTTTTGTCTCAGCAGAAAGCAGATGTTCATCTATAACATAAACAAGCTTATCAGAGATAGGAATTAGACAAGACTCCAAAAAATTTTAAATCTTCAAAACCTCATTTTTTTTGTTTTGCTTATTGGGCAGGGGTGTTTTGGTGTTTGTTTCATTTTCTTTGGTTTTAGGATTTTTTGCTTGTTTATTTAAACTTTTAGCAGATTAAAGAGCTCTCTCCGTGTGTGTTTGAAAGAGTCACACCACATGCAGCGATAAAAAATTCCTACTGGAAAAGGATTTTTCCTGTTGGAAGATTAGTCATATTATTTTGGCAGTGGTAGCATGCAAGATTGGTTATCCATATTCTAAAGGAAATGGCTCTAATGAAGGGGAAGGTTTTAGTGGAGAAGGAGAAGTTGCATATTTGTGTTCCTCAAGCTACAATTGGTTTACTACCAAAAACAGTCAACAGCAGGACAGCAGGAATTCTTCAGTTCCCACCCAGACACATCTACCAAATTTTAATAGAGGAAGTTTACCCAAGCACCATTACGTCACCTTCATCATCCACAATAAAGATGGCTGACCATCCAGGCTCTGGATGGCATCTGATAGCAATCTATTAAGAATGCCAACAGAAGATACTCTAAAAAATTTTAACACATTAGAGAATTAGATTTAGACCTAGAAATTCTACAAAACATAGCAGGGTGTTTCTGCTATGTATTGTGTTTCTTAGTTGTTAATTTTTAGGTACTAGCAATTTGAACTTCAACATATATGGGTTGTGTGCTATTGCATTCTCTTCCTTATTCCTATCAGTCTCTTACCAGTAAAGTTTTTGAGAGACTTTGATTCATGGCTCAAAGACTTGGAGTTATTTTCACATGTTTGGTCAACATTCTGTTCATTTTTGTTCTTTGGCAGAATATTGGTGGAGGCCTTCTCTGGAGTTTCAGGTTTCTTAGGAGTAATGGTCTTTGTCTGCAGTGTTTGATTAACAAGGGAGACTGACTCATTAGTGCCATTAGGACTGGATGCCGACGTATCTTCTTGTAAACTATCTATTGTTCTCACTTGGAGAGATGATGAATAGGTTTCCAGAGGCTTTCCAGTGTAAGTTTGTTTATTCTTACAAGAATCTGATCTATTAGCATCATTTTCACTAGTCTTCACTTCACTGGATTTTAACAAATCAGACTCTCGTGTTTCTCTTCCATGATGTAGCCGTGGGCTTTGCAAAGGTTCTTCTTTTCCTATGCTAGAAGAGAACCTCACTTGTTTTAATTTTTCCAGTGAAATTTGCGCGGAATCTTCTGCTTCTTCCACAAGAGAATTCCTGTCAGCTTCCCCTTCTAAAATAGATATGGTAGGAATACTGTTCTTACTCTGAACATCGAACATGTGATTAGCCCGAGCTTCTGAGTCAGTGGAACTGGAACTTGAACTGCGCTTCAGAATGCCCCTGGGCAGTGCACCAATGCCATTAAGCCCCTGGGTCCGTTTTGCTGGTTTGGGAAAAAAGTCTTCTCCCTGTGGCACAGGATTAGTTACTTTGTGAACTAATTTTCTAGCTTTGGGGACGGGACGCTCAACCAGTCCTTTCTGTGATTCCTCAGCAGGTGCTTCAGAAGGTTTCTTAGATGTCTCCATTCCATCATTTAGTAAGTTTGCTTTAGGTTGGCTCTCCTCTGAAGGTAACAAAATTTCTGCAATATCTGTGCAGAGAAGAAATCATGAATTTACACAAAATTCAACTAAACAGAGGGGTATGATGCAGTGCAGATCTAGAATGAAGTGATTACATTGATAAAAAATACTTGCAGCAAAACGCAGGAGGAAATTCAATGTAAATGTTGATTTTATTTGTATATAACAGGAAACCTTAACAGGTGAAAATCTTCTAGCTAATTCACACTCTTAGAATGGAAAAAAATGATAATTTCAAAGATAGGGAGCACATCAAATTTTTGATCAGCACAGTTCATGCAAGGATTAAACTTTAGAGGGAAAGGGCAGATTTTGAATATGCAAGCATATTTTCAGGTGCAGAAGTTAAACAGCAGTCTACAGAAGAAAGTATTTTCAATTTCACATAGAAAAGTTAAAAAGCAAGAATGACTTCCCAGTAGGGATATGAAGATTTTTTGAATTCTGTTTGTGCACGTTTCACTTCTCTATTAGCAAGTTTCATATTAGATACATAAGAGTAATTGATGTGTATCAGCCTGTTAATTACAATTTCAGATGCCTGAATTGTGATAAATCATCACTTATCCACTTGCTTGCAGAGAATTCTACAGGAGATGTGAAATTCTAAAATATGTTGGACTGAGGAAACACAAGAAAAAAAGAGGTTTGACTCTTCTTTGAGCTAATAGCAGCAGTAACTGAAAGGTCATAATGATAGAAATTTCCTTGAATATGGGATTGCTGTGTTCTCTACCAGTGATTCACGACAAGAACACTTCAAAAGGAATGTGTGAAACATTTATTTCCTGAGTATACTCATGTTTTACATGATGTTTGAAATGAACTAGCTGATAAATTAAGTAGAATAGCTAAGGTTTGAAACCTGTTTTATCCTACAATAAGAAGCAGTGGAAGTAAAATTAATTTCCATATCCACCACTAAGAAATTCACAGTCATATTAATATTTACCCTTATTTGATAGCTGAGGTAGAATGGCTTGTCTGCTTTCTGATTCTCCGCTGTTCAAGTTATCACTTGATAATGTGGAATTAAATGGATTTCTCCTTTGCTAAAAAAAAAAAAGACACGAACATTATAATTGGAGTCAAGTTACTGTATCAGTACAGTCTTGGCAGTATAAATGAAAGTTCAGTGATTTCCTCTGCCTCACTGCTCTGTCAGCAGTGTCTAAAAGCACGCTTCTTAAATTGGATGCGTAGCAAGACATCTAATAAATCTGAACCACAGAACTATAAGAAATGCCAGCAACAGCCTAATCTTTCTGAAATTACCAAAGCAGAGATAAGACACCACTTAAAGACAGCTGAAAATTCCAAATTCTTGCAAGGTAAAAAAAAAAAAACAAAAACGTAAATCTATTTCTGTACTTTAGAGATATTGGAAGAGAGCAAGACTTATTTTCAGTGCCTGACAAAGTTGGAAACAATGTCAAGCACAGGCATACACTGATTATAGCTGTAGCAGCACTTTAGGAGTGAAATTTTAGCAGTTTCCATCATCTCCCCCCAAACAAAAAGCACTCTTTTTTTTTCCCATTATTTTTCTTCCTCAAATCTCAAATTATCATTATCATTCAAGCAAAGAAACACACAAGATGTAAAAGATAACATTCTCTACGTTCAATACTGTCTTACTTTCATTGTTGATGCTGCTGCCTTCACAGATCTTCTACCTGGATTTTCTAACAAAGAGGTCACTGGGTTAGAACTGCAAAGAAACAACATAACTTCAGCAAACAGGCATCACTTTAAACTTTTTCAAAAAGCTGATATTCAGTTGTACATACTGAAATAAAACTTCTTAGCACACAGTTGTGCTATTCAGTATTCTCATCACTCTCAGAAGCAAAACTTCTTTTCGTAGCAAGAAGAGCAGCAACAGTTATCTTGCAAAAATTTCTTTCCCTGTTAAAGAATTGAATGCAACTTCTCCTTGGCAGTACAAAAATTACATTTTTGGTACCTTCTAGAATTTCCTGAGCAAGCTTTATGTAAATGTAGCCACTCTCCAAACGACATCAGTATTACCACAACCATCCTTGTCCTATATGTTTACTTTTAGGACCAAAACTGAAATAGAGGGAAGTGTTAAATCTCATCAAAATAGAGTTTTGTAGTGTCCAAGAAAAAAAAAAATCAGGGTAACTCCCACACCACTATAGTAAAGGTGTGGCATGCCACAGACAGCAGGAGATCCCCTCAGAGGTACGCTTTACAAACTACTCCTTCAACTAAGATCTCATCAAATCACAGATTTTATAGCTACATGAAGTTATTGTGATCCTGACTAAGCATAACTCAAGTAAGAAGAAATTTAAGAAACCTCCCCTATATTATATAGAAAATATTGACTGATTGTTGACTGATTGCAAAAGGATGCAAGGTTTTTTTTTTTTCCACAAAACACTCCAATTTTGTTTACATATTGAGTTAATCTAAATAGCCCAGATATGAAAAATGTGTTTTGTTATATTTTTGAGGTGGAACGTTGATGGGGGTTTAAATACGATCTTCATTTAATAACCACTTTATCTATGAAGAAAATCCCTGCATTAACTCACATGCTTGAAATTTGGGGGATGAGTACAAGAACAATCTAAAGCAGAAAAACAACTACTCTCCATATAGGAAATATTACTTTACTTTTATTCATCCCAGTTCCTAGAAGAAAAAAAAAAAGCATGGCTGTCAAAGAGCTCAATCTTGATGAAAATTTTAATTTATTTTCAAAAATATCATTCCACTTTAGTTTGTGTCCTTAGCTTAGAAAATAAAGTTCTGAGATGACATATATAAAGAATCTTTGTTTTCCCGAGGTGGAGTTTGGGTTCTTGTTTTTACGAGCACCTGTGCGCTCCCTTACTTTATGCCTCATCTTGACCATCTGCTACTCAACAGGACAAACATGATTCAACCCGTTCCTTATTTTAAAGGAGGACTCTGTTTATATGTACTCTGGATGTAAAGAAAACTTAAGATGTTCTTCTGCCTTCCATTTTACAAGTTCATAGAATGGCTTGGGTTGGAAGGGACCTTAAAGGTCTCCTTGTTCCAACTCCCTTGCCATGGGCTGGTTGCCAATCACCAGCTCAAGCTGCTCAGGGCCCATCCAACCTGGCCTTGGGCACCTGCAGGGATGGGGTACGCACAGCTTCTCTGGGCAGCAGTGCCAGGGCCTTACCTCTGAGCATGGAATTTTTTCCTAACAGCTAACCTAAATTTCCCCTCTTTTAGTTTAAAGCCATTTCCCC